GGCGGGCAGCTACGCCTGCCGTTGGAGGGCGGGATCCACTAGGTGAAGCCAGCTAGGCTCCTGAGTCCGGTGGGGACTTGGAGAACTTTTGTGTCTAGCCGGAGGATTGTAAAGGCACCAATCAGCACTCTGTGTCTAGCTCAAGGTTTGCAAGCGCACCAATCAGCACCCTGTCAAAACAGACCAATCAACTCTCTGTAAGATGGACCAATCAGCAGGATGTGGGTGGGGTTAGATAAGGGAATAAAAGCAGGCTGCCCAAAGCTGCGGCGGTCCCTGTCAATGTGCTGTGTTCTTCTCGGTTCTGTGGAAGATTTGTTCTCTTGCTCTTTGCGATAAATCTTGTTGTTGCTCACTGTATGAGTGCATGTGGCCATTAAGAGCTGTAACACTGACCGTGGAGGTCTGTAGTTTCGCTCCTGAAGTCAGCGAGACCACGAACCCACCAGAAGGAAGAAAGCCCGGACACTTCTGAACATCAGAAGGAACAAACTCGGGACACACCGTCTTTAAGAACTAACACTGCGAGGGTTCGTGACTTCATTCTTGAAGTCAGCTAGACCAAGAACCCACCAACTCCGGACCCACCAGTGTTGGCACTTCTCTGTTGTCGGCTGTCCCAGGACCCCTAACTTGTTGGCCCAGCCCTGTGCGGAGAGGTCTGCGCTCCTCCCTTCTAGTGCCTGCGAGCCAACACTATCTCTAATTCTCCCTGTTTGGGGAGCAAAGGACCTCAGTTTGCTCAGAGAGATCCAGACTGCCCCAAGTAACCATCTCCAGCGAGGTCTGAGAGCAGCTCTGAGATTCTGGCAGATGGCTGCCGTTGGTCAAATGCCCACAGGGGTGTCCACGTCAGGTCCCAGGCTTGGTCCTCACCAGCACACACTGCCGGGTAGGGGGATCCTGCTTAAAGGAGGCAAATAGGGGATTTGTTTGTCGAGGACACTACCCACTTCTGCCCCTGTCCAGGAATTAGGACCTCTGCTTCCACATCTTAGGCATCTTACTCATATTCCCTTTTTAGTGAAGTCAGCTGAGCCTCAGGAAGGGATGGACTGCTTGTGGTTACCCTGAGAGTTGGTGCCAGATCCAGGCCCCAAACCTGGGGCTCTCAGCTCCCAGGACATCTCAAGAACCAAGAACCTCACTGTGTGTGTTTCAAGGAAGCATTCTTGGGGCTGGGCGTCAGGAGATGTCTGCCATGCAATCGACCTGCGGACACAGCTGGCTGGCCCTCACCACCAGGGCTTTGCTTCTTGTCCAATTGGCCCCCTTCTTCCATTCATGCCCTGGCAAGGAGGCTCCCCTGGCTGTGGCAGCTGCCCAGGGAGAACCCAGAATGGGGAGTCAGACTTGAATTCCAATCTCAACTCCCCCACATATTCACTGGCTCTGCAACCCTACACCCAAGTAAAACTGTTCATCTCTCTGGGCATCAGTTTCCTCATCTGCAGAGTGGTAGTAATTATATCTACATAACAAGGCTGGGGGAAGAGGGTGTTTGTGAATGTGTCCCGTGGAGTGTTATTGCTGCTATCAGTCACTTGATCAAATATTTACTGAGCTCCTCCTGGGTTGGGTCCTGGAGGTACAAGCTGTACTGCATGGAGAAAGGAGGGGATGGATATGTGTAGATTGCTTTGGTAGAGAGGAGCTCAGGCCTGAGGACCACATGGGCCAACTGCCATTTGCTGAGACTCTGAACCCTAACAGAAGAGGAATGAGTGTGGGGTGCACTCAGGAGTCCAGTGGGGGCACACTGGGATGTTTGAGGCAGCATGTGGACAGGCGGGTTGCACATATAGGACTGGATGGGGTTTTTCTGTTTTCGTTCCTTGATTTGGGATTTCACTCTTGTCACCCAGGCTAGAGAGCAATAGTGTGATCTCGATTCACTGCAACCTCCACCTCCCGGGTTCAAGCGATTCTCCTGCCTCAGCCTCTTGAGTAGCTGGGATTAGGTGCCCATCAGCACGCCCAGCTAATTTTTGTATTTTTGCTAGAGATGGGGTTTCACCATGTTGGCCAGGTCTTGAACTCCTGATCTCAAGTGATCTGCCCACCTCAGCTTCCCAAGGTGCTAGGACTACAGACGTGAACCATCACGCCCGGCCAAGGACCAGAGTTTTTCAGAAGTCTGGGTGTCACGGACATGGGGTGGTTGCTGAAGTCACAGGGGTGGATAAGGTCTTCAGGAAAAGAGTAGAGTGAGGAGAGGGCTTAGGATCCATCTGTGAGTCACCTGGTGACAAAGGGTGGAGGAGCAGCCAGAAAGGACAACAGGAAACTGGGACATCATGGTGACACAGAGTGCTTGGAGCAAACGCCTTCAGTGAGGTGGCAGAGGCAGAAGCCACTGGCGTGGGTTGGGGGGTGAGCTGGAGGAGAGAACTAGAGATGGTGCGTGTGCAGATGCCATAAAGAGAAGAAAGGTGTCACTTGGGAAGGAATGTGGGGTCAAGAGAGGCATTTTTTTAATGCTTTTTTTTTTTGTTTGCTTGCTTGCGTGTATTAATATGCTGCATCCTGTAGTAGGTTTCCTTTATTTCAAACAACCGAAAACAAGTCTGGTTAAGTTAAGCAAAAAGGGACGGCCGGGCGCAGTGGCTCACACCTGTAATCCCAGCACTTTGGGAGGCCAAGCAGGTGGATCACTTGAGGCCAGGAGTTTGAGACCAGCCTGGCCAACATGGTGAAACCCCATCTCTACTAAAAATACAAAAAAATTAGCCGGGCATGGTGGTGTCCGCCTGTAATCTCAGCTACTTGAGAGGCTAAGACAAGAGAATTGGGACACTTGAACTTGGGAGGTAGAGATTGCAGTGAGTCGAGATCATGCCACCATTGCACTCCAGTCTAGACAACAGAGCAAGACTCCGTCTCAAAAAAAAAAAAAAAACAAACAAACAAAAAAACAAAACAAAAGAAAACTTAGCTGGGCATGGTGGCATGCCCCTGTAGTCCCCTCTTCTCTCAAGGCTGAGGCAGGAGGATCACTTGAAGCCAAGAGGTGGAGATTGCAGTGAGCAGAAATCGTGCCACTGCACTCCAGCTTAGGCAACAGAGCAGGAGTCTAAAAAAAAAAATTTTTTTTAAAAAGTAAGCAAAAAGGGGATGTGTCAAAAGATCGCAGGGAGCTCCAGATGCTAATGTTTTCATCTGTATTCTTCAAGGCAGGAGCCAGGTGACTCCAGATCCCGACAGGAGGAACCACTTGCTGCCCAGTGCCACCTCCATAGAAAGGTTTCCTGTCCATTGTCCTTGGTGTGTCTCTCAACTCAAGATTCAAAATCCCAGTGGAGTGGCAGTTCATTTGGCTGAGCTATGGCCACCTGCCCTCTGCCCTTGGACCGACATAACTGGAGGAATACCTGGCCCAGTGCCTCTCTAGGAGCACCCACTGCCCCACTGAGACTGCTCA